CAAAACACCAAAGAGACAAAAGGAAACTAACTCCCTTAAACACTGCTAGCAGAAAGAAGACAGAAAGCCGACGAGAGCTCGTTGTACTTAATGAAGCAGGCATTCAGGTGTGCTAGAAGCACTGTCAGCAAAACAGCAAAACACTTCTTTCCTCGGTCACAGAGGCACGGCAGGTGCCACCTAGCCTGCTTTCTGTAACAACCTTCTTTTCCTGCCTTCAACACAGTGAGGTCGTCCTTCAACTATGCAGATAGCTTTCATCACCTATCGCTACTAAACTCATTGAAGGCTCATGTTAAGTGGAAAGTAAGCTGGCATTGGCATTGGTTTTCACTGGACCTTCCCTGCTACTTAGTGAGGAATCCAACTGAAAGCTACAAATACAGCTTGAGATTTCTTATTATACAATGCAATCAGTGCCTGGCTACAGGAACGTTATACAAAGTCAAATTTGAATTCAGAGGAGAGAAAATGGCACTCACACATGACAGGTTTTGTTGGCTCTGTGTGTTCACGCATGTGTGTTTTTAAAGAAACCAGACGCTCTTGTTTCTCCAAAATATAAAGAAAACATAACACAGAGATGCTTGCTTTGAACACAATGTGAACGTATCAAGCGTGTATTGGGCTGCAAGGAACACAGAACTGAAATCTTTTAGTAGCATGCTGTATTTTAGACAGCAGAGTTATACAGTATCATCTTCTCAAAGTTTGCGCTAGCAAAGTCCCCACATTTAGCAAACACCATCATCCCCTTATCTGGCAGATTCTATCAACATTATGAGCCACAGTGAGGTCTTGTTCTGTAGAATTTGATTTATTGGAAAATAACAATGGCATCACAAAAGCTTTGTTTGCTGAAAGTGAAAGAAAAAGTAAACCTCATCACTTCTCTAGTTTATTAGAAAAACTATGAAAAGGTAAGAAACTGAATAAAAGGTTTTGAGACCCCATTAGTATGCACCACACTTTAAAAGGGCTATAGTAAATAAGTCAGCCATTAATGTGTAGTACTCTAATAACCAACAAATTAAAAAGCCAGTGTATTCCAGCAGAACGAAATGTTTTCAATAATGAAGAATAACAAGTTGTAATATATCCAAATTAGTTAACTAGAAAATCTTTTTTATAAGTACATAATTCAGAAGATGGCTCAGTGGGTAAAATGCTTGTCACGGAAATGCAAGAACACAAGATGTGAGTCCCCAGAACTCACATGAAGCTGGACACGGCAGCCTACATGGCTGTAATCACGGGAGATGGGAGGCGGGGACGAGAAAAGCTCTGGGAGCTGGAGGGCCAGCTAGCGTGGTGTACGCAGGGACAACGAGGCCTCAGCAGCAGACGTCTCCATGTGCACCAGTACACACGTGCTTATACACACTCTCAAAGATTTAAAACGTCAATTCAGTCAGTGCACGGGATGTGGTGAAAGGGGGGTCAGGGGTTCAGGGCCAACCTCAGCTACATAGTGAATTCCAGGCAAGTCTGGGCTACAGAGTGAGAGCCTGTCTCAAAGCCACACCTCCCAACGTCAAAGGTGAAGGGAAAACTACAATAATTTTCTAAATCTGAAGTTAATTTGAATCTAGCTCACTCTTTATTATAAGTAAGTATAGAGGGAGAAAAACTAGCAGCAAAAAAACAACTAATCTAAAAATGGACAACTGAACTGTAAATAATGTCTTCTAAGCAAACCCAAACTCATGTTTTCATCAGCATATCTACTTTCCACAGCTCGACTTCCACTTCTGTAATCTTTTTTTTTTTAACTTACTTGTTACGTTTATAGTATGCTGTCTGCATACATGCCTGCACGTCAGAAGAGGGCACCAGATCTCATTACAGATGGTTGGGAGCCACCATGTGGTTGCTGGGAATTGAACTCGGGACCTCTGGAAGAGCAGGCAGTGCTCTTAACCTCTGAGCCATCTCTCCAGCCTACTTCTGTGATCTTATAGGGAAGGTCTAAACATGTAAGATCAAGCTTCTACACTAAAGTAGGTAATATATATACACACTGACATTTCACTAACTTGTTAAAGCTGATGTTTCAGCTCTAGTTGTTATTAATATTCTATATTTAGACTTACTTATATTAACTGAACATCATGAACTAGTAGTTTGAAACAACTCATGTACCTTCCTTCTTCAATAATTCTGCCCTCCAAGTCACTAACACTCTTCAGTTGAATGAAAGCAAGTACGGATGGCAGCGATGAGATGAGATGCCAGTTGGGACACCATTATGGCGAGAAGTAGGACTCTGCTTCATGAGCACAAGGACAACAGTACTGCCATGTTCTCCAACCTGCTGAGACTTCTCAGTTTAACAACCAGTCAGCACGGGGAAGGCAGCTCACCACAGTTACTGAATGTGAAAGAAAAACTCAACTGTCCGAGAGAGAACATCTAAGGGAAACCACAAAAATGGACCTAAAAATAGGCAATTATGTTCAACAGAAAATTCGGGTCCTTTGAGTGAGGTATGTAAAGATTTAACTCCAACTGTTTGTTTCCTAAGGGATTTACCCTACAAACTTGACAAATATGCAGATATATGCTAAAGTATGACAATAATAAAATTAATGTGACTACCAGTGAACTGAAAACAATCTAAATGCCCATTAAAACCTGATATGTTGCCAGGTGGTGGCGCACGCCTTTAATCCTTGCACTAGCCAGGCAGAGGAGGCGGGTCTCTGTGAGTTAGAGGCCAGCCTGGTCTACAGAGCGAGTTCCAGGACAGCCAGGGCTACACAGAGAAACCCTGTTTTGAAAAACCCCAAAACAGAAAGATAAAAAAAAGCCTGATATATTATTTTAAGGTAATAGAATGTTCCAGTTATATAATTCTAACCTAACATGTAGTAACACCATAATATAAAATTTAAAGGGAAAAAGCAGGTTAAGAACAACATGTACACTATGAACAGCATGCATGGAAAGAGCTGCAAAAGTTCCCATCAGAATAAAAATGGTGGTTTTCCCTCAGTGGATGGGGAGAGCTAATTTTAACTTTTTATAAAAATTATTAATACAGCTTAAATTAAAAGGCAAATATATTTTCTCTTTGAGACCAGAAAATATTCTCTTCACGTTGGAAAAAAAAAATACTTTTATTTTTTAATACCATTGTTCTTTTTGGGAAAAATTATCTTAGGAAACATTCATGATGCTACAGATTCAAAAGTGTTTACTATAGTAAAATAGTGGCAATAAATTAAATGATCAATAGTGATATATCACATTATAAAATAACTGTGTAATAAATGAGCACAGTATGAAACAATTAAAAATTAGTGAAACAAGATCTTGGGGACAAAAAGGAAAGGTTATATGGTGTCATAGTGATGTGTTTGTGTGTCCAGTTGATAAAGTATGGTGTGACCTCATTAATCTTAATTGTCAACTTGACAAAATCTAGAGTCATCTGAGAAGAAAAGCCTCAACTGAGGGATTTCTCAGCTCACACTGGCCTGTGGGCATTTCTGTGGAGGCTATCTTGGTTATTACCTGATGCAGGAGAGCCCATCCACTGTGGGAGGCCCCATCCCATAAGCTAGCTAAGCATGAACCTGGGAACGAGCAAGCCAACAAGCAGTGTTCCTCTATGGTTTTTGCTTCAAGTTCTTGTCTTGAGCTCCTCTCCCGACCAATATAACCTGGAAATATGAGCCAAATAAATCTTTCCCTCCCCTAAGTGTCTTTCAGTCAGTGTTTTATCATAGCAACAGAAAATACTAGAACATGGTAACACACCTGTAATCCCAATACCAGGAAAGGAAAGGTATGAGGATCAGGGATTCAAGGCCATCCTCAGATACAAAACGAATTCAAGGTCAGCATGGATTATGTAAGATCCTGACTCAAAACATGCATATTTAAAAATTAAGATAATGATGCTTGGTGTAGTGACTCATATATGTAATCCTACTAATTGGGAAGCAGATGCAAAAGGATCCTAAGTTTCAGACCAGCCTGGATGACAGAACAAGTTCAAAGTCAACCTGAGCTACACATTGAGATCTTGTCTCAAAGCACCAAGGGCTGGGGATATGGCTCAGTGGTATCCCATGCACTGTCAAGCTTCCTCTCAAACCACTTACCTTTATTTTTAAATTACTTGGGTGCTGGTAGGACATCTCAGCAGGTAAAGGCACCTGCTGCCAAACCTGAAAGCCCGTTTGATTCCTGGACCCACCTGGTGGAAGGTGAGAGCCTATTCTGATTCCCTAGCTAGCACGCATGCACACACAGACAAATGTGCATGAGATAAATAAAAATGCAACAAAGCTTGCTTTAGAAACTACTTTGCTATATGCTTTGTAATATATTTCAAGGTAAGCATTCAATGTAGCAATCAATCTAGTTAAGAAAATAGATTCTAAGATCACAAATATAATAATTAAAGAGAGAAAAATGAAAATTCTCCTGTATGTGTTGACAAAATAAGCTTTTAAGAGTTTAAGAGCAGGGACTGGAGAGTGACTGCTCTGCAAGATGAGGTCCTGAGTTTGGATCACCAGCACCCATGTGAAAACCAGGCATGGTGACAGACATTTGCAACCTCAGTGCAGGAAGGGGAAGACAGGAGGATCCCAGGGCCTCGATGGTGGGCCAGCCTACCCAATCAGTAATATCCAGGCTCAGTGAGAGACCCTGTCTCAAACACTGGGGTGAAGAGCAACAAAAGAAGACACTGGATGTCAACCTCTGGCCTCCACACATGGCGAATGCATAAGCACACACATGTGCTCACATATGAGCACATACATGTATACAGCCCCCACACACACAGTTTCAAAAGAAACATTTAGAGTTGTAGGGTAGATACATGCCAACATGAATGCCTATGGCACTAGGTCAGGCCAGTAACCAGGCATCTAGACTGCGCTGTGTTCCCTGCTGTGCTGAACAGTCAAATACCTCGCATCACATACTTGCTTTCCTTCCGCTGTGCTAGCATACATTGTTAGTGTAAAGTCCTTAAAACCAACCTGCCACGGTCTTTCCCAATCCAGTGGAATAGGGAATGCTCCAAGCCATGCTCCTATAAAACTGGAAATTGTAGTGATCTGAAGACTGTTTTCCCAAATGGATGTAACTCTGCAAGACACCATACACAAGTCATTGGTGATTTATATTATAATAGCTAGAAAATCACACAAGCGCTAGCACAGATTGATGTTACGCTTTTTCAATGTAATCGACTCAAATTGACAGACGCATGAAGATGCGAATGCATTTCCACTGTAAGGGTACTGCGTGTGCACCGTGCGAGGCAGACAACAGAAGACACTGTGGTAACAACTGTGTCCTTGTTTATCACTCCCCCAGTCCTTCACCACAGGCAACTGTCACTCTCAAATGTCACATACCTCTCCAGAAAGAGTCTGTGCAGGTCCACATATGCACACAACTTTATGCATATCTACATAAATGAAATGTGTGCAGGTCCACATATGCACACAACCTTATGCATATCTACATAAATGAAATGTGTGTATACAAGCATTTTTTTCTTAAATAAGATTTAAATGCATCCCGCTGTAAGCCCGATTTAACTTTTGTTTTCTGCATGAACAGCTACAATAGCAATTCACTGTATGGATGTAAAATGGCTTCATCAACTCATCTTCTTCATGCCATATTTCATCCAATATGACTTCATCTATTTGACAGACAAGGACGGGGAACAAGAAACTCAAAGGATCCCGTGATAGAGGACATGGTGGCAGACACCTATAAACCCAGTGCTCAGGACAGGACAGTGCTCAGGCAGTGACTTCATGGCCAGAATGGACTATGTAGTGAGATTCTATCTTAAAAAGAAAAACAAACAAACAAAACAGTGATCTCTGCCAGCCATTCCTATACTGGAGCAAAGGGGACAGACAGACCTCTTGCTCCTCTTGTAGCTCAGGTCTTGATTTCAGCCTTCTAATATGAATACTCAAGTCGTTCTCATGTACGGCTTTCTGACTATGACATGTGTCTAGTTACAGTAATGGAAGGCCCACAGCAATGCAGCCAGTGGGGCAAAGATTCGATTGCTTACAATGCATGCAGGAGTTATTGTGAACTTAATGAAAAGCAGCAGCAGCAGTATTTTCATTGGAAACTCTCCAGACAGACATTCAAGTGGAAACCAGCTCTGTCCATCTGACATCCCCACATCCAGGAGAGGCTTATTTCTATTAAAACTTGGGGTTTTATCATGTTTCCAAGTTTGTGCTATTTGCCGGGCCTTCCTGTTCTGTGTTTTAAGTAATACTTGTAAATGCTAGCCAGTTTCAACTAGCACCTGGCAGAATGGAAAGCTATTTCTATTTTGAAGATGAAGTAGACTGGCTGAGTTAAATATAAGGAGACTTGCGCTGTCCAGGTAACTTGAAGGGTCTCAAAGGTAAGCTTTGACCAGGTGTGTGGCTGACAGTGTTGACATTAACACACAGTTCATCTATGCCACAACACAGAAAGGAAAGTGCAGGAGTCGGGAATGTGGGAGAGGCTTCAAGCAGACTTTACTCTCTGCTGGAGAGGCTTTGCTCTTCAGTTTTACAGACGAGGAAGATGGTCATCAAGACTTGAAGGAATAAGCAGGGTGAGACCTTACTAGAAAAAATGCGCCATGGATAAGAGGACACAAGCGACGCTGCGTGAGGTCAAGTTCAAGGCGGGAAACGGGTGGAGAAGTGGATTAGAGTTTTACACAATTTCAGGCCAGGTGAGGTAGCTCACACCTGTAATTCCAACACTAAGGAGACAGAGGCAGGAGGCAGGAGAAATACTGCATAGCAAGTTCTAGTCCAACCTGGGATATAGTAAAATAACGACTTTATTGAGTATAGCAAAAACAAACAAAAACCCTAGGGAAAATACTTTTCCAGCCACACAATTTACTTATGTAAAGTTTATAAGGCAATGGTTTTTTTTTTTAGGATAGTCAGTGCTACTTAATCACCACCAGCCATATTTAGAATATCTTAATCACTGTAAAAAAAGACACTCTTCACCTATCAGCAAGCACTCTCCATTTCTACTCCCCATAGCCCTAAGCAACTAAGCTACTTCATGTCTATGGACTTTCCTGTTTTAAATATTTCATGTAGGTGAGCTCTAATGACGTGAATTGTTTCACTGACTTCTTCAACTTGGAATACTCTTTTCAAGGTTCACCTATGGTGTAGCACGTATGAACACTTCATTCATGTCAGTGGATCCTACTCCCTCGTGTGGATGCTGCAGATTTCATTTCTCCATCCAATAGTTGATGAGCATTGGGTTTTTCTGCCTTTGGGCTATTGAAAATAATGCTGCTAGGAACATTTGTGTACAAATCTCTGTATGGATACCTGTCCTCATCTCTGTTAGCATTATACCCAGAAGGAAATAGCTGGGTCACCTGCTATTTGAGGAACTAACAGTTTCCCAAATCAGCTACAACATCTGATTTTTCCACAAGTCTATGAAGGTTCCAATTTTTCTACATCTTCCTAATTACCTGTGGGTTATAGTCATTTTAGCCCCAGTGTGAAGGAACCAAGACCTAAAAACTATAAAAAAAATTCTGTGGACTGTATTTTAAGTGAACATATTTATCAAAATAACTTATGTGATATCTTTAAAATCAAAGACTACAATTAGAATAAAAGTCTCTTCCTCTACCTGATTTCTACATACTATAGAGATACTTCCAATCAAATATATATACAATTTTTCATGTCTTATATGTCAAGATATCATTACTTTCTGCTTTTTGCTGCAGAAGACATAGCTCCTATTATCCACATGCTTTCTGTATCAACACAGCATATCTCCCTCTTTGTCATCTCTCCAATACTAAAATTGCCCCCTTCAGTTAATGGTTAACCAGTGTTTTTATAGTAACTATGAAAACGCCAACCTCAGAGCAAACCACAACCATGTGTCTTTTCTCTTAGTAAATACAATTTTTAATTTTCCTCGGGTGCTAAGAACTCTTCCCTCTCCTTCCAGCTGTTTATCTACCCGCCACTAGCTCACTTTAAATATTTAAAAGTACTCTAGCTGCTTGCTTCCTCTGTCTGCTCCCCTTCTTTTTGAGGTGCCTGGCTGTTCTCACCTGCTGATGGCGGCGCAGTCCTCTGAGGATCCTGCCCCATCATCTTTGAATTTCTCGGTCTCCATCCTGCTGCTCTGGGGTCTCAGTCAGATCTGGACTCACCCTCTCTCCTGCATCCCCCATCACGTTCCCTTCCCCCCTCAAAAATGGCTTTGAAGAGATATTTTAAATCTGAGAACCATCTTATTATGATTGCTACAAATATTCTGCCTCGGATTTTTGGAAGGCATTGTTCCCTTGGGTTTTGGTTCCCACACAGAGGTTCAGTGCTATTCTAGCCCCGCCCCTATTTCTACAAGGACCATGTTTCCCCCATGCTGGAAGAATTCCCAACCATCTCCTTATCCCTGGTTATCTTACATTTCATGTAGAAAAATATCTTTGTCTTTTTGTTTGAATAAGTTTTTTTTTTTTTTACTTCATCTCTACTTTGGTTGCTTTCCTACAGCATTTCATTTTCTTGAGCTTTACTGTTGAGTATTCCCTTTGTCTGACACACTTTACAGATACACACACAAAACATGTGGCTATCTTCTGTCCATTCTATTGTCTTCGTCTTTACTGACCTTTCTTGTTTAGATTCCAGTTGAGGTTAGATGGTGTAAGCCTAGCTTCCTGAAGGAGGGGAATGGTTATAGGTAGAGTAGATACGCTGGCATAGAGAGGTTCATTTGAGCTTTATCCCCTGAGGACGCTGAACAAATCTCAATGTTAGGGTTAGCTGAAACAGCTGAGGCCTTGATAGCTACAGTTGTATTTCTCCATTCCTCTTCTTCCATTGTTCAATGTGTGTTACTTTTACAGTATCTTCTGCTCTACAACGCTAATTCATTCAAATATTCTCTTGGCATACGTAATGAGCCTCTTTCGTGCAAAACCTGAAAAATTCTTTCACTGAGAACTACCATCTTTATATTCTCTTTTTACTACAGAAACACACAGCAGTCTTATGTTTGAGTCTCCCTTGTCTCCTCTCCATATCTATCATGTTCTCTAATTACTTTATGCCTCCCAACTCAATTCTTTCACTGAGAACTACCATCTTTATACTCTCTTTTTACTACAGAAACACACAGTAGTCTTATGTTTGAGTCTCCCTCATCTCCTCTCCATATCTATCATGTTCTTTAATTACTTTATGCCTCCCACCTCCTTCCTTATCCCTCATTCATCTTGAATGGCTCAAACCTTTCCTTCATACTTAAATTTGATTTTCTAACATGCTTTATGCTTCTAGATATTTCTTTCATTGTTTTGTTGTTTTTGAGGCAGGGTCACTCTACATAGCCCTGGTTGTCCTAGAACTCACTATGTAGACCAGGCTGGCCTTGAATGTGCACCACCCAGCTGCTTCTTGATATTTCTAAAATATGTTCTATATATGTTGTTTAGGTTCTGAATTTATGGCATGGATTCTGCAAGCCGATCTTCACTTTAGCTCATTTTCTTTTTTCTCTTGTTATTAAATTAATACGATTAATAATATTTTTCTACGATAAACTATGTGAAATTTGTTTGGTTTTGGTCCAGGGGCGTGTTCTCCCAGATCACATCTGCCTGTGCAGGTGTCTGTCCCCTCCTCGATGTCCCCTACCTCACAGTGGTGTGCTACTTCTATTTCTCTTGCTCACATTTCCCCTGGGCAAGCTGTCTAGGCTACTTCTCTGCTCAGATACATAACAAATGTACTCTCTTTGGTGCTGTCTTCACATCTTAACTGGCTCCAGTTTTTCCTGTTGTGGATCTGCATTTCGAATGCTGGGTGTTATTTTCTACCCATTGGGTTTTTGTTTGTTGGTTTATTTGTTTTGTATCTAATGACAGAGGAGAAGAATGGAGAAGGTAGATGCTATCTTTGTTGACTCAACAGTAATACTCAACTGAAATGCAGTAAATGGTAGCTCCATGATGCAAACTTTAAAGCATCCTGGCCAGGACTTAGACATCTTTTTAGAAACCAGATGAAGCTATTATGGCACCGTCTGTGTCCTTGGCAGAATTC